GTGTGTGTATGTGTGTGTTTTTCTCTGCGTGTGTTTTTCTGTGTGTATGTGTGTGTTTTTCTCTGTGTGTGTGTGTTTTTCTGTGTGTGTGTTTTTCTGTGTGTGTGTTGTATTCAGGTGCGCTCTATAGACGGGCAGTTACGGGAGTTGGTATCGCTCAGCCTCACACACAAGCTGCAGCTCCTTTCTACTGAGGTGACATGAACAAGAATCAGCTCTGCCCCCACCTGCCACCCTGCACGCTCGCACCTTCACTAGTCTCTCCTCAGATGGTGGACCAGGTGGGGGGACGGGACACTTCCTGTTGCCGAGCCTCATGAGCCAAGACTGAGTCCAATTCACCACGGCTTAAGACCATGGGGTACTAACTGCACCCCTCCCAGGAGGACTGTGGACTGGGTGTTACCATGGTAACACAGACAGGTAACAGGTGACCTGCCCTCAGTGTGCACGCTACAGGTGATCCTCAGTCATCCAGGAGGAGGAGACTCCAAAAACACTCCAGGCTTGAAGTAGGAATGCTTGTGGGACCAAAATGTCTTCAATTACCAACGTCTGGTTGTTTGTTCAGTTTGGTTCATGAAGGTGAGCAACGCCAGTATTACCCCCCCCCCCCATCAGACCCTGGACCAGCCCCCGGGTCGAAGCCCTTTGGTTGAACCTACGAGGTGTTTTGGAGAACGGGGGGTTTAAGCGTCAGAAGGAACGTGGGGACATGAAGTCCAAACGTTTTCTCGACTTGTTCAGAACTTTTAGACGTTTTCTGAGAATTTACAGATTTTCACAAAACAAAAAAAGACAAGTGGAAAAAACAGTTTAAATAAAATTTCTACTGAAAATGTTTGTCATGTTTAGTTTTTGTTCATCTGTAAAACAGTTCTGAGTTCACATTGTGATGAGGAATTAAAACAAAAATACAACAGTGAAAGAAAAGTTATCCAATATTTAACTTTTGTTTTAAAGAAAAGTACAAAGTAGTTCCCGAAAAAGAACATTTTGTTCGTAAAGAGCTGAAATAAAATCAAAGAAAGCTGATTTTGTGTTAAAAACATTAAAATAACAAACTGATAAGAAACAAAAACCAGGAAATATTGTAAAACTGTCACAGAATAAGCAGCACACTAAAAATAAAATAAAATACATGTTACAAAAAGTAAAAGTACCACAGTACACAGATCATCAGTAGTACTGAAGTAGTTACTTCCTCTCATGGTGGACAGGATTTTAGATTAATTTAAGGTTTTTAATACATTTATTTGAACTGTTCTTTTTCCAGGGTCTTCTACATTTAACTATTTTTTAAAACACCAGCACGTCCGCGGTCCTGGCGGCTCGTTTTTAAACTTCTCACTTCGTCACGTTCATGTGATCTTCTCATCTACGCTCCAGTCAGAGCTCCCAGTCCAACCAGTTCCTCTCAGACGTCTCCAGATCCAAACAGGAGTCCAGAGATGATCAGTTTCTGCAGCTGCTGCTCCAAAACTGGAACAGTTTACCTTTTCATATCCACCTTCTTCCTGGGGGCGCTGCTGTCTAAATGATTCTGGGTACAACTTCCTGTCAGACAGGAAGTAGCAGTCAGCTCTGGTTGACCGTGGTAGTGGAGCCTGGTTTATTTTAAAGTCATTTAGATTCAGTTCAGCAGATAAAACTCTACTTTTGTTTTGTTCACATTTATTTAACAACCATAAAGTTTACTCAAATAGCTGTGCTGCGTTCAGGTACCTGTTGTGTTCAGGGCTGCAGAACAACCAGACCAAACTAAATCAGTGCCAACATGGACCCAAAGAGTGTCTCTGTGAAAACAGGCATAGTTCCATCTCCTACCTACAGATGAGGAATTAAGAAGAATGTTTCTGAAAAATGTGAACTTGAAGATAAAACCCAAAACTCTGCATGTGAGCTCATTTCACTTTGTGGACAAACGGCCTCAGTGATGGACGACTTTAAGACTGTCTGGACTCTGTGTCTGATTTAAGGTCAATAAGGTCGTGTCCCACCTGTTTTAACAAAACACACCGACCTTATTACTGTGGAGACACTGATACACTCAGAGCTGTTCAGGTTCTTCATCACTTCACCGTCTGAAGAACTGAGTCAGTGAAGTAGCTAAATGTGCTAGTACATGTAGCTAAATGTGCTAGCAGATGTA